GAGCCCCCCACCCCCTGCCCTCTCCGCATCCAGTAAAGCTGGCCCAACATGGAGACAGGGAGGCCCGCAGCGTGCCTGAGCTCGGGCTGGTGGGGTCTGAAGGCCGCTCTCACAGTAGCAGGTGAGACAGGCAGGCTCACAGCCCTCCTGCCCCACAGTCACCCCAGGAGAGCTTGTTCAAGGCAGACGGCTTCGCAGGCTGACAGTCACATCTGGCCTCAGGAAAGCTGCCAGTTTGTGTTTGAGAAACAAGCTGCACTTAGTTTGGATTCAAACTCAGGGCATCCTTCTGGGCCGGGACGGAGTCCAGATCTCTGCACATAACTGGGGCCCGAGGTAGAAAGAAGGAGCTTGCCTGCAGAGAACGCTCCCCTCCTTACACAGGAGGACAAGTAGCCCTGCAGAGAAAGAGGTGTCACTAATGCTATTGTGTTGCTGATTAAAACATCTACGATTCAGGCCGTTGCGAGTCCAGACGGTATCACATTCGATGCCAGGGACACGCAGTACTTAACACGTTCGGCTCCTCCCTCACAGCTCTCCATACACGAGACAGACGACCCCGACGACAAGCGTTTCCTCCTGGTGATGAAAGGGGCCCCTGAGCGGGTCCTGGAGAAATGCAGCACCATCATGGCCCACGGCCAGGAGCAGCCTCTGGACCAGAGCACCGCCGAGGCCTTCCACACAGCATACATGGAGCTGGGGGGCCTGGGGGAGCGCGTGCTGGGTGAGCCCCCGACCCCTTACCCGAGGCTCTATCCCTTGGGGTCGTGATGTAGCAGAGGAGCACTGGCATCCACTCGAACCACAGAAAGGAGCATGGAGAGCAAACAAGAAAGACCGTCCGTCTGATATCACCAGGGAGGGTGGGGTCACTTCCCCACCAGGAAAATCTGGGGAGGTTTGAGGGGAGGAGCTACATTTCAATCTGGTCCTTGAGTGACGACACTTGAAGGGAGGTGGGGGGACAATGTAGCTGAAGTACAGAGGTGGAAATGGCTGGGATGGCTAGGTGAGGGGGCGCCACCCTGGGAAAGGGAGCTGGCGGTGGTGACGGGGGTGGCTGCAGCGGGAGGGGCTGGGGCTTCGCTCTGCAGTCAGTGCAGAGCCATGAAAGGCTTTTTGGGAGCTAGTGTTTCCTAGAGGATTGTCCTTGGCGGCAGGAGGGAGAGGAGAGGTGTGGGTCTCAGCAGGAGGTGCTGTCCCCCCTCAGGTGGAAGAGGGGGGAAATTTGACCCAATAAGACTGTGGAGGCAGAACTGGTAGGACTTAGCAACTACTTAGAGGGGAAAAGTAAGTTTTCAAAAATGTTGACTTTTCCTGCTTAGTAATCAGGAAAAATTACTGCCAGTATCTGAGATGGGATGTTAAAGGTGGGAGGATCCGTGGATGCACAGCCATGGTGGCAGGACCTGTGTGTGGTGTCATGAGATACGCTGTCATGAGGACCAGGATTGACAGAATGGCACCTCTGAGCTGCAGAACTCAAGGTGCCAGGAGTTCAGAGTTGATGGCAAGGCTCATTAAACATCATGACAGTTCTTGCCAGTAGAGATGGAATCTGTGGAATGTGTGTTTCTAAGGGATATTTGAGTTTGTAAAGCAAGTAAAATGCATAAATGAGGTGATGAAGCTGGACGCAAGCCTTAAATAACCCACAGCACCAGGCGACCTTTTCAAGGCGGGGCCGCGACCCTTCTGACCAGATGCTCTAGGAACCCCACGGTCAGTTGACCTCCCAAAGCCTGTGTTTTGCTGAAACGTGAAATGTGTAAAGCAGAGTGCCACGCTGAGAATAAATTTGATGTAAAAGC